GCAAATGAGGTCTACATTTGGTATATTCTCCCGAAAGGTTTCGTTAACCATTTGCTCCATACCTACATTTTCATCTACTTCCGGTCTTGGTTCCTCTAGCCTATCCACACTAGTATTAGCATAATTCACCATTGAATCATCTTCACCATGCAAATACCATATCTTATACCCCGACATAAATCCGTCTATATAAAGGTGTTCTAATACAATACGCCAAATTTTCTTTTTAAGATTCCGCATTGAGAACAAGGGCAGGACAGTTTACCTTCTTCTATGTTTTGCGATTGGTTTAATGCAAGACCCATAAATTATTGAACTCCGTCGTAAAACTCATTCGTTAGTAGACCCGTCTCTGGATTATGCGAAAGTCTGTCCATCCACGCTCGAAAATATTGATCTCTATTTGAATTTGCCATTTTAAATTTTATTGATATAAGATTGGAATCCACCAAACTTATGTTCACGAGATAATCAAGAGTTTACAAGTTTTCTTGTGAAAGTGGGCGGGATGTTGAGATGGAAGGTAGTGGTTTGATTGACTCTCTCAATCAATGGGGTTGATTGACTCTCTCAATCTGTGAATGAAATAGATTGTTTGAATCACACAAACAAGCTAATTCGTAGCCTCTATAGATCTAAGTGAATCGCACACTTAAGTCTAAAGAAAGAACAATTCTTCAAGAAAACACATTTGAAAGAAAAGAACAAAATACTTGATTGATTCTGGATTGAAAGGTGTGTTACAATGAAACAAAACCTGAGCTTATATAGGCTCCATAGGCAACGTCCTAAAAGCTAAAATAAGAAAGAAATGCACATAATAAGTTTAAGAGATTTGTGCTTTAAGAGAATATAGCTGTTAGGCTTTATTGCGAGAATCTTGACCCAATAAAACACTACAAAAAAACACAGTTTTAGCGTCGGCAAAATTCGATGCTAAGTCGACGCTAAAGTCCTTTAGCGTCGTTTTTGCGTTGAATGACATTTCGACGCTAAACTGCCGACGCTAAACTTAATTCGACGCTAAACTTAATTCGACGCTAATTCGACGCTAATTTAGCATCGGATTACCTTCGACGCTAACTCGATGCTACATTTCGATGCTAAGTCGACGCTATATTAGCGTCGGAACAAATCGACGCTAAAACGATGCTACATTTCGATGCTAAGTCGACGCTAATTTAGCATCGAATTAGCATTGATTTTGTCCGACGCTAATATAGCGTCGATTTAGCATCGGTTCCGTCTTATGTCGATGCTAAATCGACGCTAATTTTGCGTCATTTTAGCATCGACATTGGACGTCTACATGCTAATTCGATGCTATATAGCATCGAATTCTATGATTTTTTTTTAAAAAAAAAATATTTGTAAATGAAAATATTTTTAATAAATTCCAAATTTTTTAAAAAATTAGAAAATTTTATATATAAATGCGAAAATGAAAACAGAAATTGTTTAAAAACACAAAAAATACAAACATAAATTTTAATTTTAACGTTCTTCTCTTAGATTAATGTCGTCTCTATATTCATTCATCATAGCTTCGGCTTCTTCGTCGAACTACGGTTGACCTCTAGCTGGAGGTGGCTGTGTAGGACGCGGTATCCGGAAGAGGGCAACAGCTAAAGTTGGGTTATCCACTACAATAATGTCCATCAGATT